TTCCATACCCTTCATGCTATAGAAAAATTTTTTTGTAGCCAGAGAGTAGTATATTTGCCTGATAACCACAATTAAGGAAAAAATAAATGTACCAAATTGAGTCAAAGGCTTTTATAAATACAAAGGTATGGAAAAGTTACAACACACCTAATAAGCAGGACAATAAATCTTTCAGAAAAAAGTCTAATGCGAAGTGTTAGTAGAAACAAGAAAGAAGGAGAGGACAATTGACATACCAAATAGAAAGAAAAGGAGAATAAACTGGGATTCAGAGTTGGCTATTGATGCAAGACACAAATATGAAACTTCTTCCCAGTTTTTTATGCTCCTTTGATTGCTCAAAGGAAGAAAGAGCTTTCTCCAGGAAATTTCCCGGTCCCATCACCTTGAAGATATGTACACGTAGTACAAAATTTGTCTCAAGTCTATAGTGTAAATGAGTTCAAGCCATGCATAACAGGATTTTCTCTGTGGCCCAGTGAAGTAAACGTAGATATTTCTATTGACTTTTGTGGACTTTATATCATAATGTTTCAGTCCCAGGACAGATCTGCTGATGACACAATTCAGAACTATAATTAAGACACAGACTCGTTTGGTCTCATCCCTGTCAAAACTAGAGTCCACTTCAATCAAACCTTCATCTCACCTTGAGATTACAGCTCAAATTAACTGAGTTGCCTCTGAATTACTCTCTTTCTTGACAAAGATTACAAGCTCCCAGTATCACTTGCAGAACTGCTCTGCTGTCTAGAGGCAGCACTTCATATTTCATAGCTCATGTAGGATTCACATGTTCAGAAACAGGGATTACTGTGCAGGTGACATAAACATGTATTGCCACGGAAAATGTTTCATGCTGTTCTCCAGAAGCATACTTTTCTCTAACTAATGTTTTACAATTTAATGCATTCAGTAGATGCTCTTGAATCTAGTTCTCTGTTATAAGGAAAGATAAACTGCAAGCTAAAGGGTGGATGAGAAAGAGCATAAAAACAAAGAAAAGGAGCAAGAATGTTGGAAAAGGAACTTACTACAAAATATATGTGGTGGACAGAATGCATAAGCATTCAAACTGAGGGTAATGAATTTCAATTAACACAGTCTGCAATAGAGAGCAATAGGGGAAAATTACACAAACAAAAACTCCTAACAAAAAAAAAACCTTTGAAGCAGCACGTGGCAGGATAATATAACAAATTCTTCTGCACACAAATTACCGATAACAGCGTAAAATGTTTATTTATCATGGATTTAACTGACAAGATTACATACTGCAGAATACTCAGTCATACCAGGACCTCCCACTAATATGGAAACAGATTTAAAAGAATTCTGCAGTAGAAGTAGCAAAATGAAATCACCTACCGTTAGTGTTGCATTGCTGAAACTATCTGAAGAGTCAGTGCTCTGGAAACATTTTTGTATCAATAATTGAGAGCTGATACCGTTTCGGGCAGTGATACACCAGGGAAAGACAGGCTGCAGCAGCAGCTCCTTCCCACTTAGCCCATCCCTAGCACTTTTTAGATCTCCTTCTTAACCCTTTCTAGGTATTTTCTCACTGTGTTTTGGGTGAAAAGACAAAGGCATGGTACATGCTATAAGAAAAGAATGCATTATTTCCCACTTTATTCAAAATGTCAAAAGAGCCGTGGGAAGAAAGTCAGTAGGATTTAGTCATAACAATAAGCTAAAAAGAAGTAAAATCTAAAAACAGAAAATGACTCAGAGACTGAAAGAGATATGAAGAGATATGAGCTACTGTAACCAGGACAGTGGTTTCTCCAAATGTAGAATTAAGAGGTCAAGATCACAATAACATAAGACACTTGCATAGAAGTAAGCTAAAGGAGAAGTTAATAACTTGCTATAAGAAAAAAAGGTTACAATTCTCTTCTAGCCTTGGACCAATGAGATGTGAGCTTTGAAATCAAACCTATTTGGTTTCAGTGAGGCCAGCTTTACAGTCTTATAGACCAATTTTTAAACCAAATCAAATCTTAAGTGAACTGATGGAAAAAGAAAATTTACTTCCTTTACTGGAATAACTTTTTCTGTAGTATTCTAAAACCATTCATTTTCCTTAAATGAGGTTGTATTCTTTTGGAATGTCAATTATAATCCATAAGAAATTGTTTTCTGACATCACTTGACAAGATGACTTTTCTTTGTCATATTATTCTTTTACTTGAAGGAAAGATTGGTCTGATCTGACAGCTCAGTACATTTTAATGGACTGTGGACCACAAAGGCTATCTGACAATAAAAGGTTTGAAAAATTCTTTTGTTCAAATGGGTTATTTCCCCCCACAGAAAAAATAAGCAAACAAACAAAAGCCAAGAAAAAAATCAGCACTGAAGCAAACTGGAGAAACGGACTGCACTCCATTCTTTCCCATCAGTTTGACAGCAGTCAGGCCCATCGGATGTGCCAGACAAGACTGCACCACTGCTGGCACACCTATCCTACAAAGATGAAGTAGTGGGGAAGGGTAGATTCTAATGAGGTGGAGGAGGATATATTCACATAAAGTGGTGGTAGTCCTACTAGCTGAAATGCCAGCCTTTGGAAATCATGCACGGGTAGAATGCAGCTGGGAGAAGAACGTATGTACATTTACAATGTATGTAAAAGACATTTCCTCTTACTTCCTACCCTCTTGGTTTACAAATTATAAGAGTAGATATTCTCTCTGAACCACGGAGAACGTCTTGCTTGCCTATTCAAGTGAGATAGAAAATCAAACAAATGTGCAGATTTGTCCCATAAGTACAAAGAAATAAGGCTCAGAAAATTCAATAGCTCTATAAGTTTGTTGCAATTTGCCCCAGTTCACAACAAGTATAGTTCTCCCAGTCACACAAAAAACCCAAACCAAACAAAACAAAAACAACAAAACAAACAAAAAACCCAAAACAAAACACAAAAAGAACCCCAAACCCCCTAACAAACCAAACCAAACCAAACAAAAAAAACACACGCAAAGGATTAAGGCATCTTCTTTGGTTGTGATTGGACAGGTACGTTTCCAAAATTGAAGAAATTACTTCAAGGACTTTGAAACAGTGGGAAATAGGGGGAAACTCAGTGCAACTAACTGAGAAAAAATTTCCTGTGGAAGAAGAGAACTGGGAGTGAAATCCGGACATCTCTCCTTAAGTCTCTTCCCACAGACAATTTTTTCTATGCTCCTCATACTGTCTTGGTTCAAGGTTTCTTACATCTAGCTGTTGCAGAGAGTCAGCTTCAACTGGACCATTAATCTCTTCTCCTCAAACAGCTGGAACTGCATTATGAGTGCATGTCCCATGACTGAGAGGTATTTCTTCTTTATCAATGAAACTAAACGGTCTGCTCACTGTCTGCATCAGACTCCCAAACACCCCCTCACAAGAATATATCTTCTTTTTTACTTCCACTTCTCATAAATTTATTTCATTTTTCTCACAGATTATCAAAGACTTGCTTCCTATATGTGTTTGTATTCCTGAGTGTTGCTTTTGGCAAAAAAAGGCCACGATGTCCTTTCATTTTCTCTTCATACCTAGAGGCAACAGAGGGAAGTAATACATAGGCTTTTTTAATCGACTGCTTGGGGTCATTAACTGCATGATTTCTCAACTGGTGTCCAGAATTCCAAATCTAGTTCTGTGTTGTTCCCTTACTGCACTTGCAGATGCTGCTCTGGGTCAGCATCTGTCGTGGTTTGAGCTGAGTTGTCAAGTAAGCACCACCCAGCCACTTGCTCAGTCCCCCATCACCTCACTCTCCTGGGACAGGGGAGAGAATCAGAAGGGTAAAAGTAAGAAAAGTCATGGGTTGAGATAAAGACAGTTTAACAGGGAAAGCAAAAGCTGCATGCATAAGCAAAGTGAAACAATAATTTGTTAACCACCTCCCATGGACAGGCAGGTGTTCGGCCATCTCCAGGAAACCAGGGCTCCATCAGGAGTAACAGTTAACTGGGAAGACAAATTATATCCCTCCAAACATCCCCCCCTTCCTCCTTCTTTCCTCCTCTTTACATGCTGAGCATGATGTCCCATGGTAGGGAATATCCCCGTGGCTGGTTGGGATCCCCTGTCCCAGTTGTGTCCCCTCCCAGTTTCCCATGCAGCCACAGTCTCCTCTCCACCATGGCAGTCCCAGAGGCACGAAAGGCCTTGGCTCTGTGCAAGCACTGCTCAAAACTAAGTGTTAGTGTAAGCACTAACAAAAACACCTCTATTGACAACACTGTTTTCTGCACAACTCCAAAACATAGCCCCAAACTAGATACTGTGAAGAAAATTAGTTCTATCCCAGCCAAAACCAGCACAACATCCTACAAGATTCCCAACTCTATGAGTGCCTTTGCAACAGTTTCATTTGATACAGCTGATTCCTGTACCTCCATGCTTTATTTTACTGAATATCTCCTGTCCATCCTCAGAGACATTATTTTCAGTAAATGCTTCCATTTTTAAAATGGCATAAAATGTACTAAACTCATGTTCTCACATTATTCTCGTTTATTTTTAAGCAGAAAACCCCTTTTATTCAAATAAATGCATAATCGTTAATGCTCACTAATAATTTATAGTCTTTCAAAGACTTCAGGTTCACATAAAGATAAAAAGTTAGGGTAATATGATACCCCTCTAAAAATCCCCGTGAAATAAAATGTAATTAAAAGTGTGGGTTTTCCTGGGTGAATAAATTGCACATATTTGAGATTTCTTTCATCAATAATTCATATGAAGTGTTTTTGCTATTTTTTTCCACCCCCCACACCACCAAGATAAGCTTGGAAGGATAAAGCAATATAACAAATTCATAGAAACTTCATGTTCAATGAACACTAAACACTTGACAACCACCCACAAAAGCAAAGAAAGTACTGCCTTCCATCACATAGCTCTAGTCTATACTTTTCAAAAAAGATCATTCTGAGCAAGCAAATAAGAGCGATTTCCCCATCAAATCTCACAGTCTTCTGCCCTGTCAATCCACTCACTTTTTGTGGTCATAATCAGTATCAAGATCTTTGCCTCTTCACCTGCAAGAATTCAGTATTAAGCATCTGATTTCATTTTCTCATGCTATACTCCAGTGCTTCCACTGCACCCTATAGGGATATTACCGTGCTGGTTTTCAAGTGCTAAAAATAAAACAAACACATGTCAAACCAGGGACAAAGTTGAAAGGAAACATACTTTAATGTAACTAAAGAAGAATATATTTAGCATTTTGCTACTAAGCAAGGATGAAAATAAACTTGTCAACACACTGTGTCTAACTGAAACCCACACCCTACTCAATTCTTTGTGCAGCATTTATTATATACGAAAAGTGGATTTAGTCTTTCTTTCTTTCTTCTGAGGAGTGACTGTCAGTACTCTGTTACTACTGCTGGCCAGAAAGGGCTTCTGAACTGCACCATAAAGCACCTCCATCCTTTTAGGCAGTCAGTTTTTCTATCAATCACCAGTCATGCAGCCATCTGAGTGAGATGCATTTGGGCAGTGGTGCATATCAGACTTCAGTCTGGAATCCCTCCAAAACCAAATACAAGCGTACAGTGGGAACTGGCAAGACACTCACTCCACAGAAAGTGAAAAGTGAGTCCTAAACCAGAAGGTTGTTTTCTTTTGTCTTTCTTTCATTATTATTGTTAATTTGGACTCTCCCTAAAGCAGTACTGTTCCTATGTCCCTAGAAATGAAGGCTCATCCAAAAACCATGGGATTACATTTTTAAATATTGCCTTTGAAACAATGTAGATCTATATTTTTAATATTTTAAACTATCTGTACTTTTATTTGTAACATCAGGGAAACAAGTACTATACCTGTATACACTGATCTTCATTTTGGAGGTCCTGTATTCTAATTAAATCTGATATTGAAGGCAAGAACCATTATGTCTGCTTTATTTAGCCCTCTGAAACACAAAGCCAAAAATTTGTTCTAACATCTTAGAGCTTGTTTCCTGGCATATGGAATTCAAGGCAGAGCAAAAATATTGATAAATGAGTATAAATTAATGTGGTAGCATTGTGAAACTATACTGTACAACTGTATGAACATTTAAGAGAGAAGGTAAGGAAGAAAACTGGAAAATGCTCTTAGCAAAAGCTATTACTTTCACCCCTACAGAACCTGCAGGTTCCTGCACCCACCACCATGAAGAAGAATGTTCAGTAGACCAAGGCACTATGGAACCTCCTGGTGTGAAAGAGCCTCTGGCTCCAACAGGGGTGTTCCTGTGGAACAGGAAGATTTGCTCTAATACCCACCAGGTTCAGAGGTTGACTGCTTCAGTGTGTCACCTTTTTTCTCCCATATCCATTCAATTCCAAATGATTCCCTTACCCCTGTCAGTGTAGCAGACGTCAACGAACTCCATTCTAAACTTGAAGTACACTAATACTTTAAATATTAATAATTAAAAGGTTCATTGGTTCCAGTAAACTTTCAAGGAAGCTCGTAATGTCTGTAAAAGGAGTAGTTGCAAAGGACCATTCTGGCAGGATGTTATGTAAGCATTACTGGAGGTCTAAAGAGCTCCTCATGCTTAATAAGGGCCACTTGACTTCTGGCAGTAGGATTCAAATGGCCCCAATTAACTTTCAGGTGTGCAGAAAATAAAAATTAATCTAAGGCTAAGTACTCTAAAGGGAAAAACAAAATCCAGCAATATCCTCCAATACGTACGCTGTGGTACCTGCAATGAAATTTCTTAACTTTGACACTTTGTATGCATCTTTCCAAATAAAATGAACTTCCTCTTTCAGGAAAATACCAACTATTCCTTCCCCGGAAGGAATCGTTGTAGAGGCACCATGTCAATGACGCACAATGGAAATACCTCATCAAAAAGTGAAAGACTGGCAAGCATTCACCTATGTCACCAGGGACTACAAAGCCTAACGGAAAAATTCAAGGTCTTCATGATTTAGGATTGTCCAAAAGCCACAACACTTCAAGGCAGTAATAACACTCGGAATTTTCTGAAGATTTGCAGAAACATACAGAAGTGAGAAATAAGCATTGCTGGTTTCTACAAGATGTCTTTACACTGATAAAATCATAGCACAAAAGTAAAAAAACATTAGTAACCCACATAGCAAAAAATTATCTTGCAACATGCTGCCAGGTGCATTTTTTAAGACGGGAGCTTTGCAAAAGTAGAAGCAGGGTAGCTTGGAATGTGTGATCAATCTCTCCATTTCTGACATTAAGATTTCACTTCAATTTCTTATTTTCTAAGGATTTACAGCCTTAAGTTAATGTGTTCTCATTTAGTATGAGACATGTAGAAATACACCTTAATACAACATTAAAACAGAGGGAAGAAGAAAAAAAATGAAAAAAAATCCCAGTACATTAGAAAACGTGGAAGTTCAAGAAATTACTCATTTGCCTTATTTATTCTACAGAGATTTTTAAAATTTATAATAAA